TTCCACATCTGAGTGGAACCTCTGACGGGCTCACAGCTCATGTGAGTCCACCTGAGAGGTGAGCGTGGTGTTGAACGAAGTACCGTCACTACTTCGGATGATTCGCAGCTGTTCCTACGGAGACGCTGGAAAGGTAGCGTTAAATGGAACTCCGTACCAGTGGAGACATCTTCTACAAGGTAACGATTCCCTCACTACCGAAGTGTACCGAGGTGGAGCTGGGTTCGGATGGAGGGTGCCGTTCGTTATCAACCCACTTTTCCCTCATCCATTTTCTCTCCATTTAAACTCCTTCATTTCCCATCTTTAAAACTCTTCTATCTGCCAGTAATTAATCCAGATATTTTCAGAAATGTCTGTTGGTTTCAAAAGCTGCAGGTGAGATACCATGGCCGTATGGTTCTCATTGTAAAGCTCACTAATTAAGCTATGTTTATTGTAATCAATTTTGCCAAATTATTGTAAATGTGTGATGTGTTTAAATCGTTTTTAAATAAACGACCCACTGTTGTTGGTGAGTCAAAGATAAAACACGTTTCCGTCCACATTTAATCGTTCAATGCACGATAGTACTCAGTCCAGAAAAATGAAAGAATCCGTATAAATTATGAATAATATCAGAGACAGATATAGTTCATTACACAGGTGATCAGTTAACAGCTCAGCTCCTCTCTTCACCCGAGTGTCCAAAACAAACCGCTGCAAACCAGAAGACACGACTATGAAGTCAACATCGATCTACGACCTAGGGCGTCCTGGTGCCAAGTGCCCAAATGGACACCCTTATGTTCGAACATGGTGTATTGTGATGGACAAACTATGAATAGCACAGAAGTCCAACAACAGAACACTGCTTGAGTTCAGATCAGAGAGGCCGTTCCTCCCAATCACGATCCTCTAGGTAACAGTGTCATTATCCATGTGGGCACTGAAGTCCCCCAGCAGAATAAAGAAGTTCCCAACTGGGCTGGCGCACCTTCCAGCACCCCCGAAAAGGACTCCAAGAAGGCTGGATACTCTGAACTGCAGTTCGGCGCGTA